CCCCAAAACCCCAAAACCCCAAAACCCCAAAACCCCAAAACCCCAAAACCCCGTGTATAAATTTGGAATTTGAGATAAATATTTTAAATATTCCCGGATTAAAGATGAACGACAATTTAGGTGTAGACGAGATAATTACCCCATTCGAAATGCAACATCTCATTAGCACACTTGATAAGGTAGATATCGCCCTCTATGGCTCGAAGGAATGGCTCAAGCATCATGAAAAGATTGAGAAAATGAACAACCAAGGCCACAGAAATGCTCTAAACGGGGATGAGAAAGGAATGGTCGAAGATTTTGTTACAGGAGCTGATTCGGGTCAAAATCAAGTAGAAACTCTAATTTATGACCTTCTGGTCACAGAAGCTTGGAAGGATAATATCTTCCCGCGTGTTAAAAACAGTCTTGCCAAAGGATTCTCGCTTAAATCTTATATGCTGATGTACCATGAAGCTACAGTGATTAATCTTTTGGAAATACTTATGTTCCACAGAGAGGCTATCGAGGAGTGCCAGGATAGTGTCATCGAACTCATAGATTATTGTTACAGAAAATTCATATGGCTCATGAACCTGGGAGATTCAAAGCCAAAAGATCATACAGGAAAGGAACTGCTCGATCAATCTAGAGAAGATGAGATTAAAAGACAGCATGTTGAGATCCAATTTTCAATTGCGATAATTTGAATTTCTATTATTAGGTTTATCAGTGATAATCTATCGAACCTGAACATCCCGGTCGTCCATCAGATGATGGAAGTTAATGACATCCCATGTATCCTCATTCCTCTGCTAGAAGAGAAGCCATGGATTAGGACTAATTCTAAAGGAGAAAAGGAAGTATATGAGGATCAGAAGTGGCAACTCAAGAAAGACGCACAGCAAGTTCCTAAAGTCGAAGCCCAAATTTGGCTGACTATCTTCAGTCTTTTCATGTGCGGGGACGCACAGAGAAAGTATGAAGTGACAACATTTAGAAAATCAAACCTTTTACGTTTGAGGAAGTTTATGAATGAAGTTCTCATTGATCAGATTCCTGTCTTGACAGAAATGCTAAGATCTCTAGAGGAGCTCTCCATGATTCAGGAGTCCACCATTGCATCCTCAAACCCCTTTGTAGTTCAGGTTCTCCCTGAGATTAGAGAAGGAATTACCAAGGGTAAGGATTGGAAGGAAATAGCAGAATACCAGACGAAGCATTACTTTGAACTCTCAGAGACAGAGACTAAAGAGGAAATGAAGGGTATCATGTCCCTCTACAGCACGGATATGCTCGAGGACTTCCTTGATCAACCCAAATGCGGCCATTGAGGTAAAGAGGCTAAGAATAGATGCAGTAGATGTAAGCATGAGTGGTACTGCAGCAGGGATTGACAGATGAGAGCATGGAAAGCTCACAAGAAGTTGTGAGCCTTACTTGCTGAAAGTAAGTCATTGACACCTTAAGAGTTCCGTAAAAGAGAGAGAGCTTTGATTTGATGAAGCCATAGTTTTGCACGTTGTTATAAATATACTAAATTTATATATTTAGGCATTAAGAATGATGAAAATAGTACAAAGAAGGATAAAAAGAAGCAAGAGAAAACTGAATCTAAACCCCTGATCCAAGAAATTAAGAAAGAAAATGAGCCAGTGAAAAATTATACTCAAGAACCACAAGAAAACTCAAAGGTAGAAGAGCCTGAGGTGGCAAAAGTAGAAGAAGTTGAGGATTCAAAAATAAGCGAGAATAAGAAGCCAATAATAGAAGAGGTAAAAGAATCAAAAATCGATGAAATTCCAGAATCTTCCTCTCCAGATACGCTTCCCAGTAACACAGGTATGTTGCTTATTTCTTCACTTTTTTATATCTTTTAGAAGCCAAAGAAGTTGCAAGCACTCCCAATGAACATGATTCAGGGTCAGAGGCAGAAGGAGAGATTGATTTTGAGGAATGTGACTAATCTTTGCTCATATTAAATTTGGAAAAGTTAAAATTCAAACCTCGATTTGACCCTCGGGGTTTTGGGGTTTTGGGGTTTTGGGGTTTTGGGG